GGTGTATGGTCGTTTTGGAATTTTTGGTTTTTTTTTTTTGTTTGTTGTTGTTTTTTGTTTTTTTGTTGTTTCTGTTGTATTCTGTTGGTCTCGTTTCTTTCTGTTTCTTCTTCTTCTTCGTCGTCTTGTTTTTTTCTTAAACTTTTATGTTCTTCCCTTTTCTGTGCATCTTTCCCTTCTTCCTTTCCCTTCGTTTTCTTCTTTCTCTCCTATTTCTGCATCTGTTTCTTTATTTCTTCTTCTGTGTTCCTCCTTTTTCTTCTGTTTTTCCCCTTATTCCTTTCTCTTCTTTTCCTTCTTTCTCTCTTCCTTCTACTTCTTCTGTTTGTTTGTAAAAGTGAAACCGGAGAAGTGGAAATACAAAGGAAACTGAGAACCAAATAACCATCTTTGTTCTGTGAGTTGTGAAGTGAACAAACCATAAGCTGTTCACCCAGACGACAGTGAAGTGAACAGGCTGTGAACGTGACAAAATAGTTTGAAAAACAAAGCATTATTTTTTTATCTATTCTATTCTATTCTATTTTATCTTATTTTTTTTTTATGATTTTTTTTTTTTTCGAGTGTAACTAAGGAATGAAAAAAATTAGTAATTTCATGAAAGAAGGATGTATTAGATGCATTTCGATGTCAATACTAATATGTAAGTTATTCGGCTGTGTATATAACCGTTCTTTTGTTATATGCACATCGGAATAGCATACATATTGGTGTTCTTCTGTGACATCTCTTCCTTGGTGAAGTTATTCATTGTTATCTATATTATATTCTATATTTGCCATAATATTCATTATCCTTTTTTTTCCTTTTTTCTTTTCTTTAACGGGTACAAGTGTTGTATGATGAACAAAAAACAAATATGCTAATTTCATAATGTTATTTTAAAGATAATTCAACACGATTTTTGTTTCATTCATATTCTCAACTGTAAGGACACGGGATAGTAACTCCAAACGCCAATTTCACTATTATAACAATTTGGAAACCATTTACTATAAGAATTCACTGTTATCTTAAAATGCCGAATTTTTGTAATACTACTAGTTTGTTTTGTTTTTTATTGTTTACCAAATTATTGTAAGTTATGTATGTATAGATGAAATTAGTGTGCACTGCATGTAAAATATACTTGGAGTTGATATCAGAGAGAAGCAGTAATATACAGATAAACACTTCAATTGTTCCTTTCGACAAAAACAACAAAATCTCGATAAGATATATGAAATCAACTCTCTCGGTACATTATTCTCCTCTTCGAAACGGATTGTGTCATCCAGATTTCGTAATAGATCGTGTAGATTTCGTGGCGCAATGAATATTTCTTAAACGACGTGAAACTTCTTGAAGAAAGAATGAGCAAGGGTCTTTACGTAAGATTTTGTTATACTTTTATGAGAGATTAGTGGCTTTGCGTGTAAGTGCCACGTCACGTGATAAGTACTCGCTTTAGATGTGAATTTCCGAAGGTCAGTACAGACGTCATTAGGAGATAAACTTGCTATTGAAGATAAGGCTATACTGGTGGTCTTCTCGGTGGTCGAATAGTATAAGTCAGAAAAAAAAAACTTGTAGACTGATTTGTTTCAATGTACTCGAGCGTCGAAGCATTTAGACAAAATATATATATTTATTTGTTTATTTATTCTATTCGTTTGTGGTTAGATTTACTCACGAAGGACCCGATTCCTCCCCCGACAGAGCCCGACGAGCGCGGAGAGCGACGCTTCCACCGCCAGACGGCTCTCCTGTACGAGTCCGTCCGACGCCAGACCTTCAGCACCTGGACGCTGACCTTCCTGGACCCCGACAAGCTGGCCGCGGCGGGGTTCTTCTACCTGCGGACGGACGACCACGTGCAGTGCGCCTTCTGCCAGGGCATCGTCGGCTTCTGGGATCCCTCCGACGACCCTCTGACGGAGCACAAGAAGCACTTCCCCAACTGCCCCTTCGTCGCGGGGGTCGCCACGGGGAACGTCCCGAAGGGGAATCCGAACGACGAGTCGGGGAAGGTCTTCAAACTCCTCGACGATTACTACAACTACCGGGTGGCCAACACTCGCCCTCAGGTCTCGACGAATTATCAGACAGGTGTGTACAATGCAGGATCTTTTGTGTAGGTCTATCCTTGCGTGCAGTTCTCTTGTTTACCTCCGAGCAAACTGTGTTTTTCTATCTGTTTGTATATCCTCTTTTAGGAAGTTCATCATTTCCAACTATCCTTGAATCTTCAGACTCGCTGCGCATCCCCGAGACCAACAAGGTGGCCTTCCCCGCCCTCAACACGACGCAGAGCCGCTGCAGGACGTACACGCGCTGGCCCAAGGACCTCGGCGTGAGCATCGACGCCCTAGCGGAGGCGGGCTTCTTCTCGACGGGCCTGGCGGACTGGGTCCAGTGCTTCCACTGCGGCGGCGGACTGCACTCGTGGCGCCAGGGGGACGATCCCTGGACGGAGCACTCCCGCTTCTACCCCTACTGCCCCTTCGTCAGGATGCAGAGAGGGGAGGACACCGTGATCCGCTGCTGGAAGGAGAACCCGGCGCCCTGCGTTCCCCCCCGGCCCATCGCCCTCACGCCGGAGGAGAGCGACCTGCTGCTGCACCACCCCGTCGCCAAGGTAGCTAGCCACGCACACGCTAAAACAGGGCTGCCTTCATCACCCCTTCCCCCCCCCCTTTCTCCTTGACAAAGGGATACGAACGAGACCAAACCGCTCGGAGATAACTTGGATATATCCTTGATAACACCTCCCTTGATATACAACACCTCCCTTATAAACACCTCCCTTGAACCTCCCTCGATATAACACCTCCCTTGATAAAACCCTCCTCGATATAACACCTCCCTCGTTACAACACCTCCCTTGACAAGCGTCCTTCTCCTCCATCAGAGAGCGATCGAGATGGGTCTCTCGCCAGCGTCGATGAAGGGCGCCCTCAAGCTCCGTCTGGAGAGCACGGGCGTGATGTGCAGGACGGTGACGGAGGCCATGGAGCTGGTGTTCGACTTCGAGGAGGAACAGCGCCGGAACAACGCCGCCAAGAACAACAGCTACGACGGCATCCCCATCACCGAGGAGGTGGGTCCGGGTTTGGGAAAATTTCGTCTGCTCTCTCTCTCTCTCTCTCTCTCTCTCTCTCTCTCTCTCTTCTCTCTCTCTCTCTCTCTCTCTCTCTCTCTTCCTCTCTCTCTCTTCTCTCTCTCTCTCTCTCTCTCTTCTCTCTCTCTCTCTCTCTCTCTCTCTCTCTCTCTCTCTCTCTCTCTCTCTCTCTCTCTCTCTCTCTCTCTCTCTCTCTCTCTCTCTCTCTCCTCTTCTCTCTCTCTCCTCTCTCTCTCTCTCTCTCTCTCTTCTCTCTCTCTCTCTCTCTCTCTCTCTCTCTCTCTCTCTCTCTCTCTCTCTCTCTCTCTCTCTCTCTCTCTCTCTCTCTCTCTCTCTCTTCTCTTTCTCTCTTTCTCTCTCTCTCTCTCTCTCTCTCTCTCTCTCTCTCTCTTCTCTCTCTCTCTCTCTCTCTCTCTCTCTCTCTCTCTCTCTCTCTCTCTCTCTCTCTCTTCTCTCTCTCTCTCTCTCTCTCTCTCTCTCTCTCTCTCTCTCTCTCTCTCTCTCTCTCTCTCTCTCTCTCTCTCTCTCTCTCTCTCTCTCTCTCTCTCTTTCTCTTTCTCTTTCTCTTTCTCTCTTCTCTCTCTCTCTCTCTCTCTCTCTCTCTCTCTCTCTCTCTCTCTCTCTCTCTCTCTCTCTCTCTCTCTCTCTCTCTCTCTCTCTCTCTCTTATACACACATACACAAATACACACATTCTCATTCTCATTATTATTATTGTTATCACTCTATCTATCTAACTATCACTCTATCTATCCATCTATCAAGCTACCACCCTATCTATCTATCTAGCTATCACTCTTATCATAACTTTTCTGTTTCATGTCTTTGTCTTATACTTCATTTTTTTTTTTTTTTTTTTTTTTTTTTTTTTTTAACTGTCCAGACCCTCAGCTTTAATGCCTATCCGTTGGAGTAAGAGGTTGTTTATTTCATAATTAGGGTGATTAAGTTATTAAGTTGTTTTGTGATAAAGAGATGAAGTATAAGGTCGGTTTTTTGTAGCTTTATCTGATAGTATTTTTTTTTTTTCCTCTTTTCTTCAACAGCCTAGAGATAGCACAGAAGCAGAACCCATGGCAGTAAGTGTTTTTTCTTTCTTTCTTTCTTTCTTTGATTATATATTTTATCACGCCTATTTCATATGTATATTTTTGATAGTCAATTACTCTGGTGTCGTCACTGATCATATTTTATCACGCCTATTTCATGTGTGTATTTTTGATAGTCAATTACTCTGGTATCGTCACTGATCATAAAATGTTAACGATCCCTCTTCTCTTTTCTCAGGTTGAAGTCCAAGGTTCTTTTTTTCCAGCAGACACCAGCGTTATCCCGTTCAACCTCGAACAGAACCCGGAATACCTGAAGTTACTCTCAGAAGGTAAACCGTCTAGAATTTAGCTCCGCCTCAAGTCGACCTCTTTTTCTCATACATGGCTAAACGACAAATTCCCAAACCCCTTTTCTCATACATTAAACTACAAATTCCCAAACCCCTTTTCTCATACATGACTAAACTACAAATTCCCAAACATACTTTAAACTACAAATTCTCAAACCCCTTTTACTCCCCTTCGCCTGGTTCCTGATCCTTAACGTCCCTTTTCGTCCACAGTGGAACAGCTCCGCCAAGACGTCCTTCTGGAGGAGAAGCGTCTGATGTGCCGGCAGTGCGAAGCCCAGCGGGTGGCGGTGGTGTTCCAGCCCTGCTCTCACCTGCACCTGTGCGCCGAGTGTGCCAGGCCGATGGACACCTGCCCTTCGTGTGGCACCGTCGTCAGAGGGACGCTGAGGCCCATCATCGGCTAGTGACACAGCCATGGCACAGACAACAAGGACGCGTCGTCGGCGTCCGTTTTGCACTCGAGGCCTGGGTTCCAAGGTCGCAGCGGAGAGGCGCTACGGTAGGTCAGCAGCACAAGGGGAATCTTCTGTGTCTGTTGCGTCCTCAGAGCCTCTGGGACGCTGAGGATCCCAGGAATGGACTAGTAGGGGAGTGGCATTCACTCTCAGGGGTATTCTGTGGCGGCGCCCTCTGGACAGGGCTGGAGATACGGTCCTTATGGTTGAGACCTTATCATAGAGGTTTCCCATATAATGCAGATATATTGCGGAGAGACCTTAATGCAAGTGATCCAAAGTTTATAGAATTTAGTTTCACAGTACTCCACAGAAGAGGCAAAAACCCGTTATTTAATAGGCTTAGTATATATATCAACAGACTAACTGAAACTACACACTTCACACAAACACAAAACAAATCCACAGTGCAATCGCATTGTAGAAAAAGTCATGATCTTCTCTCTTCTGCCTGTTTTTCTGTCTTTTCTTTGATTCCTGTTAGTATCTTAAGGTATTCGATGTTGAAAAAATACTTCTACGTTCATATTATTAATTACAAAAAGCGATGGAAAATCGTGTTCTGGTTGTTGTTTTTTATGAATCATTTACGCGGTTTAGTAATAATAAAGATAATGAGTTTATTTTGAGTTTGATTGTACCATATTAAAAGCCAACGTTAACAATCGTAGCCTAAGGCCACGAGTTTCACGAGAATAACGACCTCATCTGACCTCTGCCATCAAGATCAGCTGACTGCCCTTCTCGGTCATAATATGAACAACCTGTAAATAACATTCACTAAAGCTGGATAGGACACCCAGGAGCTGCCTTCCTGTAGCAGGTTCCTCCTTGAGCAGACACAGGTGTTCGCACTGCTTTCACTTTAGCAGGCGGAAACAAACACCTCGAAGGGAGCCGCCGCATAAAAGGACACATCCACTCAGAGAGAGAGAGAGAGAGAAAGAGAGGAGACACACAGGGTTCACGGTCACCTCCACCACGTCCTCGACCCCGGGGACACACACCTACCTTCCGTAAATAAACCCGCAAGCCAAGACCCCTTTCATTCACCTACACAAAGACCACTTCATCCTCGTTGACATCTGGGAACAGCGGTCGTACCTTCACATCTGACGGCAACGGTGCACCACGCTACCTTCACACAGCCTACACATTGCTTACAACGAAAGAGACTCCGTGATATTCTCACAATGTATGGCCAATCCCAGAAGCCCTAGAATAACAAGAAACTAGGAAGTCTAACCTTTATCTATTTACAGATTTCTCCTTGACAACTCGACGACCCAAATGAATTCCTGAACCTAGCAAATAAGAACTTCAGAACCACAAGCTAAAGACATAACTGAAACTAAAATTGAATCATTCTATTCAGTAATTACTCTCTCAAGAACTTTTTTTTGGACCAAGTCACCGATGGATGAAGAATAAAGGATGTGGTCTGCAAAAAAAAAAAAAAAAAAAAAAAAAAAAAAAAAAAAAAAAAAAAAAAATTATGATTCAGAAGAAAAAAGGATGTGGTCTGCAAAAAAAAAAAAAAAATAATAATAAATAAAAAAAAAAAATAAATAAAAATACGATTATGATTCAGATCTTTGATAGAGTTGTGTTATCAACATAACTTGAAGCTTAATGAGGTTTCTAGAAAAACGAACTCCAATACTTATTATGAATAGCACTTTATGAGCTGAAACAACGAATACTGATTGTGGTGCGAATATTTGCTAATATATTGCAAAATATTCTAAATGGTGAAAATTGGATGAATTATTATCATTGTTTTGTTTTCATTAAAATCATAATCATTATTGTTATTAGTTTCATTATCCTTATTGTTATCAGCATTTTTGCCGTTATATTATAGTTCATATCATCATATATCATCGATCATCATCATCATATCATCATCATCCAATCATCATCATCATCATCATATCATCATCATCATCATCACCATCATCATCATCATCGCCATCACATCATCATCATCACATCGCATCATCATCATCATCATCATCATCGCATCATCATCATCATCATTCATCATGTCACCATCATCACCACCATCATCACCATCATCATCATCATCATCATCATCACCATCATCATCATCACCATCATTACCAACTGCATCATAATTTTGCTTGTGTTTCACCTGGTTGTCATGCGACTGTAGTGTCGAGGTCGCTTCTTTTTAATATAAACTGAATTAAATTTTTATTTATTATCAATTTATATAAAAATTAAATTTTTATATAAATTGAATTAAATTTTTATATAAATTGACATTATGCCTGAAATCATATTGCATGCAACTGGGGCATTGAAGTCTCTTCATTTTGACTTAAATGGGGTGAGAATTGTCAGCATAAACAACAAAGACGCACACACACATGCTATAAAGGCAGCATATTACGAATCTAGGAGAATCCTATTCTAATTCTGTTATCTTTATTACTAATGATATTGTTACATTTATTATTATTATGATTGATTGATTATGATTATTATTATTATTATTATTATTATTATTATTATTATTATTATTATTATTATTATCATTATCATTATTATCATTATCATTTATTGCTGTTGTTATTATTATCATGAATATTATTCTCCTGCGAGATAAGTCCACTGCAATAAATATTTAGACCGTCAGTTTATCTCCATTTATCATTTACACGACTTTCATAGAAGGGGAGGTATGGGGAGCATATAAATATAATCATATATATGCCATCAGCGAGGCTCCACGTGGTTCCAAGAGGCTCCACGTGGCTTGAGCGTCTGCCCGCGTGGGTCCCAAGACAAGCAGGAAGCCAAGTTGAAAATAAAGGGTGACCTAGGATGACCTGTGGAACTTGGCCCGAGGTCATACCATCAGGGGCGGTCTGGCATCATAATCGCAGGGTGGCTAGCAACGAGGAAAGGAGGTGGGTAAGGAGAGAGGGAGGGGGATCGGAGAGAAAAGGAGGGATGGGAGAGGGAAGGAGGGGGATGAGGAAGCGAAGGAAGTGGGGAAGGAGGCTAAAAAGAAAAGGAAGGAAGGTGGGGGGGAGGGCAAATGTAGAGCTTGAACTGGAGTGTGGCAAATAAGATTATCGTAACTACACCCACTAATGAAGGAATCCCCTTAACGACGTAAATAAATATACAGATAAATACATAGAGTTTAAGTAAATGGTCTTTTCCAGCTTTTTCGGAAAGGTCTCGTCACATTTCTTGACCTTACACATCAGACGACCCCGGGTGGTGATCACCTCCCTGCCACCGGCCAAACCGCACCTCCAGACCGTGACAATTCTACAAGCGTTCTACACCAAGGTCTATACTCATATAGACCTTGTTCAACACCATCCCAGCCTCCCCATATCGCGTGTTCATTCATTCTGTGCACTCTTGTTGCACTCTTTCAACAATAAAGAGTGAAGTTGTACGTAACAATCTAATATTACATCTACCTGTCCATGTAGAAGGCGTCTAAAGCTTCTCACGGGAGGTAAAGAAGGAGAATAGGAGGGGAAAGAGAAAGGAAGGGGGGAAGAAAAGGGATTTAAAGAATGAAGGAGGTTAGGGAGGAATAGAAGAGAGGGGAAGGTTATAGAGGAAAGGGGAAGGGGCTCAAAGAGGAGAGAGAGGGAGGAGGGGAAGGGAGGGGATATAACGAGGAAAGGGGGGTAAAGGTGCTGTCACACTAGTACTTTTCCGTCAATTTTTTGACAATTTTCTGAAATTTGTCCATTTTTGAGCGAATTGTCGATTTTCCAGTCAGACAATAATGATCGTTTCCGTCTGAAAACTTTCCGTCAACTTTTTCAGCCAAGTCATAGTCAAATCAAGAGCTGTATTCGAGAATGTTTGTATTTATGTTAAATAAAGTTGTCAAAAAATTGACGGAAAAAGTGCTAGTGTGACAGCACCTTAAGGAGAGAGGGAAGGAGGGTAAGGAAGAGAAGGAAGTGGGGAGGGGGGTTAAAAGAAAAAAGGAGGGAAGGTGGGGGGGGGGGGCAAATGTAGAGCTTGAACTGGAAAAATGTTGCAACTCGCTTCCCAGAAATCTTATTGTACTTCAATTTATGTTGATAGCAAAACCCTTTCGAAGAACTGAAATATACTCAAATATATCTTTAATTCTTCCGCCATTGGTCATTTGGTTAAAAATAAAGTCTTCAGAGTAATCACCCTGTAACGTATTGTAATTGGAACACAGTGCAGCAGACGGCGGCGACCTGACCAGAGGGCGCCGTAACAAAATATTCTTGAGGGTGAATGCGACTCCTCAACTGCTCCAAGCCTAGCCTAGCCAAGGTCTACCGTTACAGATAAAGAATATTACCAATAAATTGACTTTTTGATTCCATGACTAATCTTCCAAAACATTTAATCCGCGAACCCAATGGCTTTCACGATGCCGTTCTTATAGGGAGAGATCTGTCCGCGTTCGTATAAGGAAATCCGTCACCTTACAAGAACGCCGACACTAAATCCTCTGTACTTATATAGACCTTGAGCTTGTGTTGTTATTCACGATGATGTTCGTGGTGATGGTGGTGTTGCTGTTGCTGCTGTTGTTGTTGTTGTTGATGATGCTTTAGGTTGTGGTGGCGGTGTTAAAAGGTGCTGTCACACTAGCACTTTTTCCGTCAATTTTCTGACAATTTTATTTCACATAAATACAAACATTCTCTAATACAGCTCTTGATTTGACTATGCTTGGCTGGAAAAAAAAAGTTGACGAAAGGTTTTCAGACGGAAACGATCATTATCGTCTGACTGGAAAATCGACAATTCGCTCAAAAATGGACAAAATTTCAGAAAAACTGTCAAAAAAATTGACGGAAAAAGTACTAGAGTGACAGCACCTTTAGCGCTATTATTGTTGGTCCCGTTACCATTGCTGTGCTTATGTCGTTGTTGTTGTTCTTGGATACGTAGTTCTTTGAAACTCGTCACAGCGTTCTTATATACGGAAACGACTTGTTAAAATGCTATGTTCGCTCTCTTACAAAACGATGTATGAAAATGACTTAAAAAATGAATATCCAGTCAAGCTTTCACACATATTTTTTCGTGGTTCTGACGCGTCCTCAGAGCCTTTCTCTGCGAAGGGAAATAAAAGGGACTTTTATTGTATTTGTAATAATAATAATAATAATAATAATAATAATATAAAATAATAATAATAGTAATAATAGTAATAATAATAATAATAATAATAATAATAATGATAATAATAATAATAAAAATAATAAATAATAATATAATAGTAATGATAATAAAATAATAATAGCAATAATGATAATAATAATAATAATGATGATAATAGTAATAAAAAAAAAAATAATAATAATGATGATAATAATAATAATAATAATACAAAAATAATAATAGTAATGATAATAATAATCATCATCATCATCATTATAATCATGATAATAATAATGATAATAATGATAATAATAATAATAATAATAATAATAATAATGATAACAATAATAATCATAATAATAATAATAAAAAATAATGATAATAATGAATAATAATAATGATAACAATAATGATTATAATAATAATAATAATAGTAATAATAATAATAATGATAATAATAATAATGATAATA